CCCTAACGGTTAAGAATCGCTATCCGATCCCCCTACTTCAGGAAACCCTAAGTCGACTAAGTAAGGCTAGGTTCTATACAAAACTGGACATCATCGCCGCGTTCAACAAACTCCGAATAGCCAAGGGCGACGAATGGCTTACTGTGTTTCGGACCCGATACGGACTCTTCGAGTACCTGGTTATGCCGTTTGGGCTAGCCAACGCCCCAAGCACGTTTCAACACTACGTAAACAACACGCTTCGACCATACCTTGACCTCTTCTGCACGGCCTATATTGACGACATCTTGATATATAGCGAAACGTTATCGGAACATAAACAGCACGTACGTCTAGTGCTTAAGGCAATGGAGGAGGCCGGCCTACAACTCGACGTTGATAAATGCAAATTCCACAAGAGCAAAGTAACGTACCTTGGATACGTGATCTCTACGGATGGGATTCGGATGGATCCAGGCAAGATTAAGACAATCCTAGAATGGGAGTACCCGAAGAATGTAAAGGACGTACGCGCCTTTATTGGATTTGCAAACTTCTATCGACGATTTATTGACGACTTCTCCGCATTGGTGGGCCCACTGATAGCGCTCACTAGGAAAGATATACGATTCGACTTCAATACGGACTGCCGAAAGGCCTTGATCAACTCAAGAAGGCCTTCACGGAAGCACCCATACTCCGACACTTCGACCCTGACCTTCCAATTCTGGTAGAAGCAGATGCCTCCAACTACGTAGTAGCGGGCGTACTATCCCAGACCGATGAGGGCAGTGTAACTCGCCCGATTGCTTACTTCTCTATACGAATGAACCCTGCTGAGGGTAATTATGAGATATACAATAAAGAGTTGCTCGCAATAGTACGTTGCTTTGAACAATGGAGACCTGAACTGGAAGGAGCAGCGCATCCGATTTGGGTCCTTACCGACCACAAGAACCTGCAGTACTTTACAACCACTAAGCAACTCAGCCACCGACAGGCTCGTTGGTCCGAATACCTGTCCCGATTCAACTTTACGATAACGTACCGACCTGGCAAGGATGGAGAAAAGCCCGATGCCCTGACTAGACGATCCCAGGACGTTACAGCTCAGGATGAAGCCCGACAGGCCCGCAATCAGACACTGCTCCGACCCGGACTGTTTACGGAACTGAACCTGACCGAAACTAGCCGTATGATATCGGAGATCATTCAAGAAGAATACGAAAACGATGAGTTCATTCAAGATACCCTGAAACTACTCCGAGACGGCAGCCAACGGTCAAAGTTGATCACCCTGAGCGACTGTGAAGACCGAAATGGTAGACTGTATTACCGAGACCGACTTGTTATCCCAGACACGGATGAACTGAAGATCAAGCTACTCCAATACGTACACGATTCCCCTGTGGGTGGACACCCCGGCAGAGGAAAGACACTCAAGATCCTACAGCGTGAATACTACTGGCCACGCATGTTTGATACAGTACGACGATTCGTTTCCTGCTGCCACACGTGCCGCAAAGCAAAGGCTTCGCGTGAGAAATACCACGGGCTATTAAAACGGTTACCGATACCGGAACAAAGTTGGAGAGATCTATCCGTTGACTTTGTGGTTGACCTACCCAAGTGTCATACTGACACGGCTTGCAGCCAACCAGTCCTTATACATCTGTCAACCCCTATTACCCCTATCTGTCAACCCCTATTACCCCTATCTGTCAACCCCTATTACCCCTATCTGTCAACCCCTATTACCCCTATCTGTCAACCCATATTACCCCTATC